ATGTTTTACGGTGCTCGCAACTGTATAAGGCTATACGAGCACCAAGGGTTGAATGTCAACAGAGAAGTCCTTACAGGGAATCAGACTTACTCTGCTCACCTCTCTAGCTTCAGCAGCAAAAAGTCTGCTTCGACTACATGTATCAAGGTACCCCGGAAATAGCGAGTCACAAGAGTGTGACAAACATACAAAAGAAGTAGAGGAAAATGATGATAGTAAGGATTAGGACAGATAAAGCAGCAGTTCTCTGTTGTAGTTCAGGCACAGTTATGAGCATGACATTGTTAGATCAGCCCATTTACAATTCTACTGTTCACTAGAACGAAAAATGCCCCCCCCCCCCAATTTGGGAATGGCCTAAAGACACTTCAGTCAGTGGCACTGCCACGGGGGAGTCTCAGACAATGAGAGCGATTAGTGCTGAACTTAACCGTGGTCTTGATGACTATGAAGTCTTTAGAGGACATTGTGACAAATTTGTGCCTCAACAACACAAGTAAAACGGACACTTCCGAATCTGTATTGAATATCTCCTTCTAACTGTGCTCATCCGCTAGATCTTTATACCCTACAAAGGCTGGTTTGGAAACCATTGAGCAGACCACGTTCCATGAATTGACCCCACCCACCATATCGCAGTCCTTTCCAGGGCTGTCCCTGATATGTGTAGACAAGGAAGTATCAGCATCATCCCAGAAAGAGTCTGCACCAACAATAGTGTCGCCTGGAATCATACCCCAAACCATACTGACGTTTCATCAGGCAGCTGTAAGTCAGATGCTGAATTATTACCTTCGAGGTCACAGCAACACAATCTGTAGACCATATTCAGGCACATTAGCCCCTTTTCCTGGAGCCTGATCCCGAGACACAGCTCATTTGTGATGCCAGCATAAATGATGCTCCAAAGAGGAAAAGAAAGGGTTTTTAGGAGTGGCAACAAATAAGTGAAAAGCTATCCGTGGATCAGGACAGAATTGGAATACATAAAGGTTCAATGAAAAGCCCAACTAAGTTATTGAAACCAAACTGTGATTGCAAGAGCTGGACTCTGAAATGTAAAAGGCTATCTGAAGTTGATAGATATTCTAATTTTGATTTAGTGTGGACCCTCTCATGGGATGACTAGTGGACCTCAGAGGAGGTATTCAGAGACTAACCAGAGAGGGAAAACCTTCAATAAACACTTTTAAAAGGTGGCCTAAGGTGCCAGTGTGCTCAAAGATGTTCCTGGATTGGGTTGGATGAATGATTTGTAAGAAACATTTAGAACCAATAATTATCAAAGCAACTCAGATATCTACAAAATATATGCACAATTTACCAAGACCACAGGAGGCGGCCTCTCAACAGACCCGGCCTCGATGAAGCATTCAAGCAGAATAACCTGTCGCTATTCCTGTCAAAGATAGATATTATGTGCGACCTTTGCATCAGTCGTGAAGTTGACAATGTGCTGGAGGATCTTTGGAATGCTAACATTCTAGAAAAGGAAGCAGCGCGCAAAGAAAAGGAACGAGCTAAATCTGAAGCCATCAAATCTCTCGCCAGTAATGAACCTAAAACGACCGTACTTTCAATGGATCTTCAGCATCAGTCTTACATTACAAAACAAAACTCGCTTTTCATAACTTTACGCCATTGGATGCTGCAACACGTCAGACTCCTTTTTTATGTGTGTCATGAAACAGAAGGGGGACTTATGGCAAATGAGTTAGCTTCATGTCTATTGGAATTCCTGAAGGAAAAGCTGGACTTCCAGAAAACCCTTATCGACAGCGACAACTGAGGTTACCGATAGAGAAATGTCACACTAGCCAATGTTTCTCTCAGCCTTTTTTCAACAACACACGGAAGCACAATTGAACAGAAACTTTTTATCAAATGACACACACAAATGGAAATTAACAGTGTGAATTCAACTATTACTATTAAGGGATCGCTTCGAAAACATGCATCGAGCACCTCCAAGACTATCTCCATTTTTTCATGATGGCAAGAGCAAAACAAGAAACTTATCAAAGCAAATATTTGGATCACACAATCTTCAAGGAGTATTCTAAGTGTGGAAGCTACGACAAGTCTATACGACTAGGTAGAAAAACGGGTGATCCTGTTGTCAGGTGTTTGAAGTACATCCCAGACATGAACATCCAGTTCAAGATGCACCTGAAGGATGAATGGGCTGACGTTCCGAAGGCTGGACACAGAAACATAAGGTCCATCCTACCTCGCCACTCTACACAAAACGTTTAAGTTCCAGCACTTCAAGTACAATCACCTGCAGGTGCTTAAATCTGTTATTGCCAATGTGCATCGTCACTTCATGACAATTTATACCATTAACATTAGGCCACCTCTATTCTCACCTGGAGTGAGAATAGTGCAGGCGAGTCTTGTGGCTATTCTCACCCGGTGCGCGTTCACCAAATTTTGCGTTCACCCTAAACCACAGAATTCTACACTGTGATAACAGAAAAATTGTAGAATTCTGTGCCGTGAACAAACGTTCCATTACAACTGTAGCCTACTAAAAGCGTACAATTTTGTCTGTGGGCAGTGGAGAGAGAGAGAGAGAGAGAGAGAGAGAAAGAGAGAGGAGTAGCGCGAGAATTTCCGGGCAAAACAAAATGGCGACCCGCGTAGTTCGGCTCGATTCGAAAAGTTAAATAGCCGTAGCATCTTTGTAGACAAAAAAATTAATTTACTTTTGTGTTTTAACATCATTTTTTAACTTTGTTTTGGTCAATTTGATCGTCCACACCGATAGACAGTATTCAGAATGAGACAGAGAGAGAGAGAAGAGGGGAGGAGTTGATCTTGCGAGAACTTCCGGGCGGGTGAGAATAGCCACTTTCTTAACATTAATGGTTGTTCATTACGATTCAACATCTTTTATGAAAACCACCTGAAGTGCAAACAGAGACCATATTGCAGAGATTTATTATTAATTTGTGCTTTTTAGCAAAACTGGAAGTAACCAGATCTAATCTTGGCAAATTATAGTGAAACAAATTGCATTAATTGCAATCCGTTTGAGGATTGAAACATAAATTCTGCAGGTAACGCACATTTATTTGACTTCAGTTGGCCGGGAATCGAACTCCAAACCAATTGGTATAGAATAAACATCTTTATCACTTGGTGGCGTTTCAAACAACAGACGCTTACTGCAACCAAAATGAGCAGCGAGAAAACTCGCAACCCTCAAACTCTGTCCTGATGAAACCTCACAACCCACCCGCCGGCTGACTACGAGGTTTCATCACGACAAAAATGGTGTAATGAAACCTCGAATCCCACAGCGTAACCACATAAACAATATAGAAGTTATTTTTATATGCTAACCACGTTTCTAACGTGTTTTTATCTATCTGTACCAACTTTGGTTTCTATAGGTCATTTTATTCAAGAGTAAATCAGTTTTTTGTCTCTCCTGTAAAATTTTCCTTTCTGGGATTACGAGGTTTCATCACTCCACCAGCGCTATACTTTATGGTTATAAATATGGTACTAGATCTAGATCTAGATTTAGATCTAGATTCTAGATATAATATATAATATATACTACAACCCCAAACTTTTTAATACTTTCGGTTAGGCTTTAAATGTTACTGTTGGTTTTAGCTACTGCAATATGCTGCTTATGGTAACCTTTATTTTACCCATTTTTAAGTTTAATTGTTTGCTACGGCATCCAATAACAAATCAGAAGCCCACCAGTCAGTGTTGTAAACAGTAAACAAGACTGCTCCAAACTGCTCAGTTCATTTCAACCTTCCTTCAAGCACAATATTTTCAAACTGAAGCCTTAAAAGGGCCAATCTGCTTAAATACTAACAAGCAGAAGGTGTTAGCTAAAAGACCTCAGAGCAAGATTGTATTATTTGAAAAGCGATCCTTACCAAATTTTTTTCAGATAATTTGTGCTGAATCAGGGGAATGTAAACATTGGAAGACCAGAGCCAAAAGACAGTCGCTTTGGGGAAGTGAAATAACGGGGTCAAGAACAGAGAACATTGTACAGACTACAGAAGCGTCACTTTGGATTCAGTAACGTTTCAATTTAGTCATATTGATGACAATTGATGGTGATTAAAGAAAATTGTCAAATCAATTTGTTAAATCCAGCAGAGAATCAGGATGTAGAGAAAGAAAAGGTGGAGGAAGGGAGGGGAAATGCGTTGCGAGATTTCACCTATTTGACACGCTGACCGATTTTCGAGAGGGAAAAGACCCACGGCTTTGTCGACCCACCTGAGTTAATCTAACGGGTCCTCTGCCAGTATATTGCACTTCTGACTGAAGACGGAATGCTGAGCGACCCGCTTCACTTCTCCATCTCTCGCGGGGAAACATTCTGTAGAATATTTTGATCTACATTTATCGTTGTGTAGTTGTGTTCTTTATTGTAGCCTCTTGTGTTGTAGTAGAAAACAAGTCCAGATTTTGTGTACATACCGGGAGAAATAAGCGATGGCATTAACCGCGAAACGATATTGGAAACTCGTAAAAGCTTTTTGCTTTGATTTTACTTGTCTGCTTTCCATTGCTACTTGTTTCTTTTAACCATTTAGCATTTGTAATAGTGTTTCAATTTTAAGAGTTTTCAAAATCAGAACCAAACCACACTAGAACTACTGATATGCTTTTGAAAAGTAAGACAAAGCCACACACAAAGAGGCTATTTCAGGGAAGCAGCATGTACAGTACCAGAACCACCTCAAATTTCCAGAACTGAAACGAGCCTTTCGAAAAGAGAAAAAAATGAACAGTTAATATAACCCCCCCCCACCTTGTATCCCAACTCAAACTCCTCCATAAGAGTAAATTTGAAAATAAAAAAGCTGTATGGCAGTCAATGCTCAACGCTGGAATTATTTTTTAAAAACATTTTTACATTCCTATTTAGTTGCCCCCTTTAATTATTGGAACAATCTCTTATGATACTTCCTATCTATTAAACTATTAATTTTTTTCCGTCGTGAAGGTCAAATTTATTCAAATGAAATATGCATTTGATTAGTAACTATGTGCCCC